ATCTTAAAAAAGACAACAGGGAGGCTCATTTAAAAAAATGTAATGCTTTTAATAGGGATGCACAAAAAAAAAAAACACCACCACCAAAAAACTATCAGGAGATAAACACAATACAGGGCCAACACTGAAAAATAGCTATACATGCAGAGCACTGTTTGTAATAGGAAATGCCTGAGCAGGGAGATTCATTTTTAGCCTAACAAATTAGCACAGAATAATATTTCTGTACAGATCTCATACTGATGAAAAAGAGTGGGGAGGTATGGGCACTGGAAACACCTTTCTGGAAAACAGTTTGGCACTATGTACCAATATGTTCTATGTGTGTATCCTTTGACCCAATGATCCCACTTTGAGCACTAATCCTCGGGAAATAATCACATGAGGGCAAAGACACATATGAATTAGCATGTTCATCAGTGTGGTTTCTAACAGCAAAAATGTGGAAACAACTTTAAATTAATATCCATCAATAAGGTAAAACAAATTATGATACATCTATACAATGGAACCCTGTCAGTTACTTAAGCCAATGATATAATAAGAATAATGAGCACTAACTATGTGTCTGGACACTGTGCTAAGAGTGCTTTAGGAAGTATCATCTTATTTACATCTATTTATTGACTTGAAAACAAGTCCAAAATATATTAAGTGAAAATATATTCTTTATACAAGCCTGGAGGGTATAATACTATGTCAAGTTGTATTATTTATTTCTAGATGTAGTATGTCAGCTTTTACTTTCTTCTATGTAATGTATTTCTTATTTATTTAAGTTTGACCACCATGAACGTGTACATTTTTATAAAAACAATAAAGCTTAACCAAACAATGTTCAAATACACAGGAGAAATTAAGCCGATATTTGCTCGTTCCCAACCTCTGAGGGTGGCATGAGCTCCAGAAGGTCTGCTTTCTCCAGTCCTAGCAGTGGAGGCATCACCCTCTCCTGGCTAGGACCCAAGAGCTGTGTTAGTTGAGTCACAAGTAGCTGCTGTTCAAGGGTCTCATGAAACTGAGAAGAATAAAAACAACAAGAGGTTACTATAAAACTTCCTTCATCCACCTCCTCCATCCTCATGAACCAGTTCTTCACACATTTCAAAGTCCTCAAATATGTCATCCTCTTCAGATAATTTCCCAGCTGTCCGTGCCTTCTCCTGTTAATCGTTCTTTTCTAAACCCTGACAAAATACCCACCTCTTCCCCTCGTAACTACAGTCCATTTCTCTAGCCATTACATGGAGCTGTTCCTTCCCCAGAGCATATATTCAGAGGAAGCCATAGTTGGCTGGCTCATGCCTATGGTAACCAACCTCTACTTCATCTCTCCTGCCTCACCTTTTTGTCCTCAGAAGTTACATTTGTGTCTTGTATCTTCACATAGTAGTCCACAAGCAGCTCTTGGATGACTCTCTGTAAAATCTCAGACCTCAGCCATGCTGTCTTATGCAGTCGAACTTCCTTCCATGCCTAGAAAATTTAAAAAATCCCAGGTAGGAACCTCTCTCTCATAATATTGTTCCTTCCTCTTAACATCCCTTCAATTAGGGCTCTTACCTGAGCCTGTTCCTTTGCCAGGGAGAGGCTTAAGCCACTCTCGTCCACGTGTTGTGAGAGACTCAGCAGCAGTTTGCTGAAGTGTGGATTCTGTAACAGGTCCTCTTCATTCAGGTTACAAGGAGGAAGCTGTCTGCTGCACACTTTAATGGGATGTCCCCCAGTGGGACAAAAAGCAAAGAAGGTATGGACTCTTAATTTATATAATTGAACATAACTCTTAATATTAAAAAAAAAAAACAACATCAAACAACCCAGGTTTTTCGTAGGAAAGTTTCCTAATTCTAGTAAGATTTTAAAATCCACAAATAGCCCTACACGGTTTGGCTCAGTGGATAGAGCGTCAGACTGCGCCCCAAAGGGTCCTGGGTTAGATTCCAGTTAAGGGCATGTACTTTGGTTGCAGGCTTCTCCCTGGCCTGGCCCCTCATCAGGGCTCGTGCAGGAGGCAACCAGTCGATGTGTTTTTCTCACATCGATGTTTCTCACTATCTCCACTCTCTCTAAAAATCAAATGAAAAATATCCTCTGATGACTTTCCCTCTCTCTTCCACTCTCCCTAAAAATCAATAGAAAAATATCCTCGGGTGAGGAATAACAAAACAAAAAAATCCACAAATACCCTGGCCGGTGTGGCTCAACTGACTGAGCGTAGTCCCATGCATCAAGAGGTCACCAGTTTGATTCCGATCAGGGTACATACCCAGATTACAGGCTGGATCCCCTGTAGGGGGTGTGCAGGAGGCAGCTAATCAATGTTTCTATCTCTCTCTCCCTCTTCCTTCCTCTCTCTCTAAAATAAATGAAAACATTTTATAAACAAGAATTCGGGAACGAGTCTCTAATAAAAGATCTTAGAAAATGGAAATACAGTTGAAAAGCATGAGACAAATCAATAAGGGACCCTTTAATAGAGATCACCCCAGTCCCCAAAATGGCTCATTCACAAAAAATAACTTAGAGTTCTTGAGGAAGGGGGGAAAAAAATGCATGTAAAGTCCCAACTTTGGAATGATCTCTAGTCACATAAGCGACTAAAAGTACACTTTTCTTAGGAGTAAATTAAAAATATTTAACTAACCAAATTCTCCCTATTGTAAATAGGGTTGAGTAACCTATGGATGCAGAACAGCACATGCCTGAGAAAAACTGTAAGAAACTGGGAACCTGTCATAATTCCATATGTTCAAGGGGCTTTCTTTTTTTTTTTTTTTTAATATATTTTTATTGAGTTCAGAGAGGAAGGGAGGAGACAGAATCAACGATGAGAGAGAATTATTGATTGGCTGCCTCCTGCAGGCCCCTACTGGGGATTGAGCCCACAGCCCACGCACGTGCCCTTAACTGGAATTGAACCCGGGACCCTTCAGTCCACAGGCCGACACTCTATCCACTGAACCAAACTGGCCAGGGCAAGGGACTTTCTTTCCATTTCTTTTCTGAAGTGCTTTCTGCTGGAGGCTTCTGTTTTACTCCCACTTACCAAATACTAAAATTTTCATTCTTTGGACCATCACACTCAAAGTCCTTTCACCATCACACTCAAGGTCCTTTTAGAGAATAAGAAATCTCTCCCCCTACCCCGCAAGGCTGAAAGATCAATATGGAAATGGTGAAATATAGAAGATTCGATTCTTTGAAGGATTCAAGATATAGAAAGGACTTGAGATATGGAAAGAATTCAAGATATTGGAAGGATCTGAGATTTTGGAGACCAAATATTAAAGAATTCAAGATATAGGTAGAAAGGAAGCATTTAAGGAATTTACTGGCCACCCTTATCTTCTGGATATGGTTGCTCACACAGCATGGGAGCATCTTGAGTTTTTAGTCTACTCCACAAGCAGACACTGACCAGGAGTCAGTGTAATCTGTTTCCCAATAAGACAGTGCTGAAGAATTGTCATGTATCCCAATTTCCTTAGAAATGTAAGCTTCGCCGAAACCGGTTTGGATCAGTGGATAGAGCGTCGGCCTGTGGACTGAAGGGTCCCGGGTTCGATTCCAGTCAAGGGCATGTACCTGGGTTGCGGGCACATCCCCAGTAGGGGGTTGTGCAGGAGGCAGCTGATCGATGTTTCTCTCTCATCAATGTTTCTAACTATCTATCTCTCTCCCTTCCTCTCTGTAAAAAATCAATAAAATATATTTTAAAAAAAAAGAAACGTAAGCTTCTATGAGAGAAACCATACTGGTGAGCATTAGAAGTCCTTTTTTTTTTATAGAAAGTAAGAACCTGTGTGAATGTAAGGGAGATGGTTTTCCTTGTGCCAAATGTCTTCCCACCTGCAAAACTGAGATAAGTCCTGCCTCGGAGAGACCGTAAGAACTAATGGCACAATCTACTTGTCGGCCGGAGCCACGACTTGGGTGGTGAGCTCAGTTGACCGAGGCTGGATAAAACCTCTCTGGAAAAGTCATCAAAACCCTTGCAAATGGCTATTCTTACCTTGTTGGAGTATTTCCATCCCTTCTCCAGGTGAACAGAAATCCCCAGATGCCATCTGATATTCTTATCTTTTGAATCCATCCAGTGAAAACAAAAAGATGAGTTGGCTGGCTGCTCCAGAGAAAAATACCTTGGGTTCAAATTCCTATTGTCTACAAGCTGGGGAGGGACCTCAGGGATGCCTCTTAACAAGGAGGGACTATATCACACATCCAAGGTCCCAAGCTCTTATACAAGTTTTATAGACAAACAGACTTATCATCAGCAAAACATTTTGCATTCCAAACACATAAATGTTTTCACTTGTTATAAGCTAAGAGGGAGCCTCCTTAAGAAAGAAAACTTTCCCATTCACTAGTCTAAGTAGGAGGATGTCCCCTCTCCACAACTACTTCTAAGTTAAAACTGAGCCGACGCTTCTCAGTTATGAGTGAACTGGGGAAAAGGAAAAAAAATAAAGAAATCAAAGTCTACTTTTCCCCCTTTGAATAACTCAGCTATTAAATTCCACAATAGTTTCTTGCAGGTCTTCAACTTGTCCTTTCATCTAAGATGTGTTGGTAGTTTTTTGTTGTTGTTTTTTAATTATTATTAATTCCAGAAACACCCTTCAGGAGTAACAAATCATTCCACACTTGAACAACTGGATTTCACATAACAGCAGTAGTAAAGAGCACCTGGAGGGAAGAGCATAAGAAGACAGACAGGGCCCAGCCAGCATGGCTCAGTGGTTAAGCATCAGCTATGAACCAGGAGGTCACGGCTGCATTCCTGGTCAGGGCACGTGCCTGGGTTGCAGGCTCAGTCCCCAGTGTGGAGCATGCAGGAGGCAGCTGATCAATGATTCTCTCTGATTATTATTATTTTGTAAAATATATTTTATTGATTTTTTTACAGAGAGAAAGGGAGAGGGATAGAGAGTTAGAAACATCGATCAGCCGCCTCCTGCACACCCCCTACTGGGGATGTGCCCACAACCAAGGTACATGCCCTTGACCGGAATCGAACCTGGAACCCTTGAGTCTGCAGGCTGATGCTCTGTCCACTGAGCCAAGCCAGTTAGGGCTCTCTCTAATTATTGATGTTTCTATCTCTCTCTCCCCCTCTCTCTGAAATCAATAAAAATAAAAAAAAATTTAAAAAAGGAGACAGGGAGGTCAGTGCCAAAAGAGTAATGCACCGGTGTAGTTAATGCAGCCGAGGCCAGAGCATAGAGTACACTGTAAAGAACGGCATCAGTACAAATCGGCAGTGATTGGCACAGTTTGGCCTCTGGAGACAAACATTTTCCCTTGACATTATTTTCCATTTGCTGCTTCAACCTCTCCTCTAAGGTATCAAACTCCAGAGGACAGCGGTGCCTCCGAAAGCAGAACAGACACAGAGGGTTATGAGGATGTAACATTCCATGTTCACAGAATACTGGGTTTACTCCCTCGTCTGATGAGAAGTAACATCAAAGTAACTACCCATTTGTTTTGTAACACGGTCTAGTGGGGGACGCAGCGGAGGAGTCGGGATGCTGGGACTTAATCTGCTCAGCCATTGTTCTGTGTGAATGTAAGGGAGATGGTTTTCCTTGTGCCAAATGTCTTCCCACCTGCAAAACTGAGATAAAAGTCCTGCCTCGGAGAGACCGTAAGAACTAATGGCACAATCTACTTGTCGACCGGAGCCACGACTTGGGTGGTGAGCTCAGTTTACCGAGGCCCACAAATAAAAGCTATGCAGACAAATTTCACTCTCAAAGATGAGGCCCACCCTAAATTTCAGAAAAGTCCGCAGTCACTGCCTCCAGGGGGGGACTGCCTCCCGGGGTGGGGGGGTGAGGGCTCCTCTTCACCCTTTTTAAAGGTGAGGGGGCGTGGACCGGCGGCCAGCAAGCTCGAGCCTCCTCCCGCTGCACTCAGACGTGTTAAAACGCTGCCACAGGGCCCCCAGCATGGCAATGTTCTGACTCGGGCGCCTTCTAAATTCTCGGAGCTGTCTTTACACGCTGCGCTGAACGTTAAATTGATTTTACAGGTATTTTCACAAGATGTGACCCTCACAGAGCCCGAGGTGAATCAAAATGCGGAGCGCGTTCTCCGGCACCTACTTCCCTTCCGCCTGGGCAGCCACGGAGTCCCCGGGGCGAGGCGGCCTCGGCCCGGGACTGGCCGGCAGGACCCTCGGGGGGTCCTCTTCCCCAGCGCCCCCGCCCCCCGCTAAAGCAAACCTGCGCCCCCCGGGCGGCTGGGGCTCCCAGGCGTGGGGGGAAGGGAGCCTTTTCCTGGGTACCTGCCCCCCGGTACGGGCCAACGCTGATAAAGTGGTCATGTTGCCAACTTTTATAGCGGGCCGTCAATGAGCCAGGAACGTGTCGGGCATTTTGCTTGCCTTGTTTCCTCTCGTTTAGTTCTCACAGGAAGTCACAATCGTACCCATTGTACTGAAGGGAAAAACTGAGGAGCAGAGAGGTTAAGGGACTGGTTCGGGGTCGCGCTGGCAGAGCTGAAACCTCTCCCCACCAAAGGGTCTCCTCACTGAGCTTGTTTGTTTTTTTTTTTGTCTTGTTCTTTGATTATGTTTTTATTGTGTGTATGTTTTTAAGAGAAAGGAGGGAGAGGGAGAAAGAGAAACATTAATGTGAGAGAAAACATGGGTAGGTCGCCTCCCCTACCAGCCTGGGGACCTAATCGGCAACCTGGGCATGTGCTCTGACCTGGAATCCAACCAGCACCCTCTCCGTGTACAAGGTGACACCCAACTGAGCCACACCGGGCAGGACCCTCTCATCTCTCATTCTCTCTCTCTCTCTCTCTCTCAACTGTATGGACATTTATTGTTTGCTTAACAAGAAGTCTGGAGCTGGGAGTCCCATCCCAAGCAGGAAGGGGGAAGGCTGTCTTCCTGTAACGGTTTGGGAAGAAATTCTTTCCCAGAAGCACCCACCAGACTCTCCCATGTGTTTCATTGGCCAGACTAGGATGTTTTCCAGTTACCCCCCCTCCCCCTTCCATATCCTGCTCTTCGACATTCCATGTATCGGGTTAGGACTGCCTCTAAGGACTTGGGGTTCCCATATTCCCTGACTGGTTTCAGCCAATGGGGGATCCCAGCAGGAGGCTGGAGGGAGAGAAGACAATGATGGGAGGAGGGGACAATTCCCCTGGCTGCCTCCATGGGCTTGACCTCAAGCTGGCTATGGACTTTGACCAAATGTTATTGTTCCTCTTAAGCCCCCACCCCAACTCTCTGTCTTAAACCCCATCACTGTCTTCTTTTCAAAGCTGAGTGAAATCTGTTATAGGTGAATTATTTCAAAAATAATACTTTATACTAAGTAAATTGCACCAGGGTTATCAAACCTCTTGCATCAGAGGAGAAACTGATAGTCTGGCTGGCAGGGAAGGAATCTCAGGCTAAGTGTGCTGGGTGGTAGAGTTTACCCTTTTCTCTTAGTACCAACTAGGGAGTTATTCCTGCAATACATAGGAGAACAGTGTGATCCGGTGCGGAAATCTTATATCCCTGGTCATCTTGTCAGCTGCCACCCTTCATGCTTAATATTAAAGTGCTGTTGTTTTCTAAAGCTTTTAAAAATTATTTATGCTTCCTCAGCTCTGTAGTGCAGCATCATTCAACATCAGGCATAATGCCCCTAACAAATGGCACTTGGAAAAAATAGCAGGCATGTTTTGGTGACTCAGAGCTGATCAGGAATCTACTGAAATTTCATGTCTTCAATTTGTCAAGTTTTCTAATATGGCACCTCAAAGCTTTGGCTAAGGAGTGCTAAAATATTTGGGAAATGAGATGGTGAAGGGTACAGTGGCCTGTCTTCACATAGGAGGGTAGAGTGGAGAGCCATGGGAAACCTTGAATAAGATCAAACCTTCATATGCAATTATCTGTTCCATCTCTGTCTCTGACAAACTGAGTGACCTTGGACTTCAGTTTCCTTATGTGTCAAATGGAGGAAATAACATATTTTTTTAGCTTCTCCAATCTCATAGTGTTGATGTAATGATCAAATGAGATAATGGCTGAGAAAGTACTTTGGAAAGACTATCAAAGTGAGATGATTTAAAATTGACATAGTATATCAAGCACTTACTAAATGCCTTGGGAGAGACACAAAGATAATATATGACCCAGTCCCAGACCTGAAGAAATTCAGGATGTAGTTGAGAAGATAAGACATGCACATGGAAAGCAAATAATATAAAGCAGCAAAGGTGACAAAAGAGCTGTTTAGGTTATACATTCTAGAGAAGCTCAAATAAAGTACACATTTTTTCTTCTGCAGGAATGAATGGGAAAGACTATGAAATAAATTTTTGTTTTACCTGGGCCTGAAAGGAGAGAAAATTTGGATCATTTACAATGGAGGCAACATCCCAGCAAGTGGAGGTAGAGAGAAGGAGTTCAAGCTGAAGTGCTGGACTTCATAGGCCAGTTCCACATAAGACTAGAAAGTTGAGTGGATAGACTGTCCTGGCAGTTAAAACTGAAGCAAAATACTGAAAAAGGATCTTATAATCAGACATCATCTGATGTCCATGAGCAAGAAAGTTGCAAGAGGCCCTAGAATTCATTCTTTCTTCCCATTTCTACTGCCCCCTTCTTGTTCTGTGTTTTTTTTTAACAGCTTTGTTGAGATAGTTTGGCATACAAGTGTACAGTTTATTATGTTTTGACATAACTATACATCTGTGAAACCATCACCACAATCCAGCCAGTGAACATATGCACCATCCCCTAAGTCCCTAAGTGTTTACTTTGCCTCATTGTAATTCCTCTCTCTGGCACTTCCCAGCCACTAATCTGCTTTCTGTTACTATTAGATTTGTTTGTATTTTTTGGAATTTTATGTAAATGGAATAAAAAAATGTACTCTTGTCCTAGCCAGTTTGGCTCAGTGGATACAGCATCATTATGGATTGAAGAGTCCCAGGTTTGATTCTAGTCAAGTGCACATACCACGGTTTCAGGCTTGATCCTGGCCGTGGTCGGGGCACATGTGGGAGGCAGCCAGTCAATGTGTCTCTTTCATATTGATGTTTCTCTCTCTCTGTCTCTCCCCTCTGTTCCACTCTCTCTAAAAAGCAGTGGAAAAATATCCTTGGGTGAGGATTAAAAAAAACAAACCAAAAAAAGTACTCTCTTTTGACCTCTTTCACAGCATAATTAATTTTGAGATCCATGTTTGTTATTACTAGTATCAATAATTCATTTTTTTAAGCTCATGTCTTTTTATTGCTGAGAAGTAGTACGAAGTCTTCTTTTAAAACCTTAATTTGGGTATGTATTTAAGGAGGTGCTTTCTCCAAGACACCAGGTACCTATCTCAGTGTTTGGCGTACTGAGACACTTATTTGTTGAAAGAATGAATTTCTTGACAACTCCCACAGAGCTAATACCTTATATAGTTTTACTAGAGGCCTGGTGCACAAAAATTTGTGCACTGGGGTCGGGTGGGGGTCCCTCAGCCCGGCCTGTGCCCTCTCGCAGTCTGGGATCCCTTGGGGGATGACTACCTGATGGCTTAGGCCTGCTCCCCGGGGGATTGGGCCTAAGATGACAATCAGACATCCCTCTGGCAGCCTGGCAGCCCTTGGGGGATGTCCACTTGCCAGCGGGGAGCAGACCTAAGCTGCAGTCGGACATCCTTAGCGCTGGTGAGGAGGCAGGAGAGGCTCCCACCACCACCACTGTACTGGCAGCCATCAGCCTGGTTGTGACTGAGCAGAGCTCCCCCGTGAGAGCGTACAGACCACCATAGGGCAGCTCCTGCATTGAGCATCTGCCCCCTGGTGGTCAATGTGTTTCATAGTGACCAGTCATTCCCAGTCTTTCTGCTGTTAGGGTCAG